TCTTTAAATATGCAAGATTTCTGAAACATCGTGAAAATTCTGTCTATTTTCCAGTGGTAACGTTCAGATTCTAAGGCGCAAAATAACATCTTTGAATCTACTACGACCCGCCTCCGAGAGCCAAAACATACAAGTCTCGTACCGGGACGATCTGTAGAATGCCTAGCACCTAAGTGATTGCCGGTGGGGGTCGCAGTGATAGACGGCTGGCCATATCATCGACCTTTCGTGTACCAATAACAAATTGCTGACATCCTTTGGTCCTGTACTTTGCAGCTTTGCTAATGTGGTCGCTAGACTTCGATACCAGTTTGCAGAGATCCCAGAATTATGTCGAGTAGTAGACCTTTGGCCCCAATTCTGCTGGACTGCACAAACCGTCGATGGCGATTTCAATGATTCTGTCCTCAAACGTGCGGCTAATGCCTTGAGATGCCTTCGTCGATGGGACCGAAAGATTGAGACCAACGCATAGATCGTCGAGGTTACAGAATTGGCTGATAGTGCAGGACACGTTCTTGTCGCAACACGATATGACAGGAATGTCTACATGGCAGTGTGGCCTCAAGCTGCGCTGGTCTGTCGCAGATATCGAGAGAATCGAGCAGATTAAAAATGCCGTGTCGAGCCTCCCAGACGATATCATGTTGCAAGGTGGTACTGCTTTTCAGTCGAGCAATTGTATGCGGCACTCGTGCTTCTCTGGAATATCAGATGGCAAGGCTGAAAAGCCCTTTATTGTCTACGATGATCCAGATTTGGACCGTTCCGGCGATGAGCATTGAATTTGATCTAGATGCATGTAATGCTGAGGCTTGTGGTGGAGCTGGGAACGATCGTCCATGTCTCGTTCGGGACATTTCATGCAACGAGCAAGCCATTGACAAAGCTCAGCTGAATTAACGCCACTGTCACTCAAGAAAGGCCTACACGCATCTAGCAATTGACTTTGATCATAGTCGCTGAAACACAAATCAGAGGCTTGGTTCACGTTGGCAGCTGATGTCACTATATCATTCTAAGTAACATGGAGTATAACCTGTGAGCGATTCAGAATCGTGCTATTGCCGACTTGTCTCATTATTGATAGTGTTAGAGACAGCTCCGACGAGCTCGCACCACGAAGTCCGTCGAACGATAGCTTGGTAAAGAAGCGTGCCATTCGTGGAGACCAATATTGGTTAACCTCCAAATACGCACTGCTTGTTGCTAATAACGCCATGGGACAATGGAAGAAGATGGCCAAACATGACCTGCAAAAAGCTGTCCCGCAACCGGCACTTGACATCGAGAAGAAAACTTCGCCCGAAACTCACATGCCGCTAGAGCTCATGCAGGCATAGCCACCAGCTATGCCTGCCGAGTCGGCTCGGACTACCACTGCCGCACGCTCTACTCGCTAGGGCACACAAGGGTGTTCGACGACAACCCTTCAGCCGATGCCAAGCATGGACAGCCGTCGGTGTGCAAGAATGATACTGTTGCTGATAGTACAATACGGTCCGAGAACTTCGATCCAAACGCTGCTGAGCGGGCTGCGTTCACCGTGCAAGTCGTGGCGTATTGGACGAATATGAACAGGCAGAGTCTGGAAATGCAGGCTCATTTTGTTCTTGACAATCTTTGTCAGACGATTGACACGCGCAACATGTGCGGTAGACATACATTGAGATCTCTGATTGCCTCCCATTCCGCTGAGACGTTGTTGAGCAAGTTTTGGGAGACTAAGAGCATGATGACATTGGAAGGTCTCCTCATAGAGCTCGTTGTGAGTGTCAAAGCTTAGAGAACCTACTGCGAACGTCAAGCTAAGGAAGACTCACCGCATGAGTTTTCGTGCAATGCGTGTTGACATAACCCATTGGCCCGAAAGGTAATTTCTAGCCGCATGCGCTGGCAATTTGATCGTTCGTGATGAAAGCCTCTTGTTTCGGCCAAGGCAGCAAGTGCGTTCTCGTTAGACCCAACAGTCTTGAAGCTTCCAGCAGCAGCACACCACCCGAAGGCTAGAAGATTACTCCAGCGCCTACTTCACGTCGTACCGTGCCATGCGGCTCCTTTGTCCATATTTTGATCGGACGCGAGTATGTGAGGAGGTAGAGTTGGTGTGCGGAGTTGCGTGATTGTGGCCTCGTCATTCGTCTGGTAGGCAGTCCTACTGTAAACCGGCCTAGCTTCGTAAGTCTTAGAACGTCCCGATTTTCGCTCGTCTTCTTCCTGCCATCCTACACTCATCTTCACTGCAGCTTGACTTGAAGAACCCTATGGTTCCACTCGCCGAACTTGGCTTCAATGCGAACGACGATGTTCCGGACATGTTCGATTACAGGGAACAGCCTTACGAGCACACTTGTCTCGTTAGCAGCCTCGAGCGGGCGTCCGCAAACAACGATCCTCCGGCGCTGAAGTCGCAGCCGCTCATGTTGGAAGTGCGACGCTATCGCGAGCCAGAGCAATCGTTCAGCTCCTACCGCAGTACGGATGGCCCATAAACGCGGCCCTCAGCTTGTCAGACTTCCCAGCACTTGCGTAGGTCAATCTTGGTAGCAGGGCAACGGCCCCTACTCATATCGATCACAGATACGCGTGGGAGACTTGGAACTGACCACATGGCTCCTATCCCATAGGGCCGATCCAGATGCTTCCTGTCGGCTCGAAAAGACGCCTCTGTCGGCTGCAGTTCAGCGTGCCCACTTCGATGTAATCCGAACACCGTTCGCGTGTGATGGAAGCGTTGGGCAAGCTCAGCTTCTTCATTGCGCAATCTGGCGCAACAACCCCGACCGCCTGGCTATCGTGAATTACATGATACCGCAAGGCGCACCTATAAACCCACTGATATACCATCAACATTCCCGCTGATTCAGACAGCGAGGGGCGGCTCGGACCGGGCTTTGTCTGTAGTATGTTCAGTGGTAGCTCGAAGATTTGAACAAAGACAGAACAGAATGTCAAATCGCGATGACGACGGGCAGTTCTCGGTCAGGGATAGGCCTTGCAGGAGAAGTTGCTGGGTTGGAGAGTTCTGGAGGCTCCAGGCCGCGGCAGATGTTGCCACGACACTGATGCCCCCCTTCCACATCAGTCCAGATCAGAAGCTTGCGACTAAATATGGTTATGTCTCGCGACTTTTCTTTGACAACTGATGCTTCAGGTGGGGGGCCTGAGGCCAACTTGAATTGTAGAAGAAGGGATCTGGAGATTGCAAAGTGGTCAATGAAGTGGTCAGTGTCTTCAAATGGAGTGGGAATACTTCCATCGGGTGAGTTACGATGCGACACTTGCTGAGACGGAGGCCTGTTGAAGGCGGCTGGGATGGACGCTTGCTGAGAAGGAGGCTTGTTGAGATGGAGCGTTGCTCAGATGGAGGCTTGGTGAGAAGGAGGCTTGGTGAGATGGAGCGTTGCTGAGAAGGAGGCTTGCTGAGAAGGAGGCTTGCTGAGATGGACACCTGCTGGGATGGACGCTTGCTGAGATGGACACTTGCTGAGATGTAGCGTTGCTGAGATGAAGACTTGCTGAGATGTAGCGTTGCTGAAAGGTGCGACAGGCATCGTGAAGGCTGTAAAGTTGATCAAAGTAACGAACGTGATACGTTGGAAGAGGTAGGTGTGGTGCGACTTGCACAGCGCAGGCTCAACATCCACGGCGGGTGGCCAGTCCGCCGCAGAGGAGAGACTACGTGGCAAGCAGTGAAAGAGGTTGTGTGTATGTGTGTGTGAGATGTACTCAGCTCTTTCATTTCCAAGTCCAAGTAGGCCGGAAGAGGGTGAGAATGTGTCGAGGGTACGTGTCGTGTGCAAGCTGCAAGAGGTGTCTTCGATCGTTTGCTGGATTCGGAAGCAGCTCGTGCTGTCGAAGTGCGCCGGCTCGAGAAAGGTTGGCTGAATTCGGAAGCGGCTCGTGCTGTAGGAGTGCGTGAGCTCGAGGAAGAAGGTCACTGCGCAGGTGTTGGAGGGTGGATTGGTGTGGCGATCAGTTCGGCGGTCGGGGTGATCAGGCCTTTCCGCCTCGACCATCATCTCGCCGAAGGAGGTGCTGTTGCGGGTGGCGGTCAGGGAAGACTCAGCTTGACGTGCCTGACGGCATTGACTGGAGAGCGGTGGTCGCGAGGGTGCCGCCGCCCTCGACTCGATGCGTTGGGGAGAGAGTGGGCGTTCGCTGCCGCTGAAGATTGGAGTCAGTCCGCTGCCACAAAAGACACGTCGGCGAGTTGCTGTGGGGGAGGTGCGCAGGGCGGTGGGAGAATCAAGTTCGCCGAGAGGGTGATCAGGCCCCTCAGCTCCCCCATCTTCTCCTCCGTTGCAAGGTCAGGAGTTGTTGTGAGCAGGTGAGACTTAGCTTTGAGCCATGTCGCCGCCCGAGTTGGGACTGGCCTGGCCGGCGCCGTCGCCGCGGTGATGAGGTTGATGGCAGCGAGGTCAAGTGCAAAGTCACGCGGCGATGGACGCCGGTGAGTGCACGGAATGGAGGGTGGCGGAGGTGGGTCGAGGGAGAAGGAGGATGGAGGATGAAGAAGGTGATGAAGCTGGAGGATGGAGTTGGAGATGAACAAGTGACGAGTCAGCGCGCAAGTCAAGTGGGAAGGAAGTGCGTGACGCGTCGCGTCGGTGTGGAAGGTAACGTTTGTTGTTTACAGCAGTCGCGCTGTGGGCGCGCGTCAAAAGAAGCAAGAGGCAGGAGGCAGGAACCAAGCGCGCACGCGGTCGACAAACACTTCTGCAATTCAAAGATGCGCTCTGCTACACATCTTGGCGTCTCGCGCGAGCATGACCACTGGCAAGTGATTGACTGCGAGGAGGTTTGGGGGCCCGATACCACGGGTTCCATCTACTACTTCTCCCGGAGTTCTCTCGCCTCTGATTGCCTGTGAGCCTACTTCATTTTAGTCACTGACTTCGCCATCAGACTCTTCCTCAGCACGCGGCTGCATAAAGCTGTCGCCAGTGCGCCGTGTGTCCGTGAACAGCATGCTTCTGTCCATCAGCGTCTCGTTCTCATCACGTCCTTTGATATCCTACTTCTTGTTCAGCACTCGGCTGCTTTGGGTCGTCGCCAGTGCCGGCGCCAGTGCGTTGAGTAACAGACTCTTCCGCAATGCCGCCTTGCTGATCGTTGTCCTCTTGATTGCCGCCGGCTCGACTGGCGGCTTGATCGCTCCGGCCATGGGTCATCTGTGTGCCCTGAGGTTCAGGCGTGCTCCGCAGCATGGAAACAGGATCAGACAGTAGCTCGTTCATGTTCAGCTCAAGGCCTGCTTGTGTGCGGTCCTGCATGAGCGTAGCGTCAATTGAGCCGTATGCTATGTTACTACGTGGTGAAGACGAAATGTATTGCTGACTCTGAGGACTGCGAGGCCTCGAATGCTCGTCAAGGCAACGGTCCATGTCATCTCGTCGTGCCAGTCCAACTGTGCCTTGTGTAGATTAGTAAAGAAGGTATCAGGTAGAATATCGCTGTATAGAAGCCACCTGTGAGAGAAGCAGCGCACTGTTCTCCATCAGTTATTGCTCTTCGATTGCTAGGAGAGAGTGACCAATCCATGCTTCAGATCACATTGTCGAGCAACGTAACACGCTCGGAGGGACAGTTTCTTCGTCTTGGATCCACCTAGTAAAGGCCCAACAACACTGGCGATGCTTTGGATCCCGCCGAATAGAGTCAGGTCGATCGGATGCTGCTTCTGTGCGTAGCTGAGCCGGCGGAAGCCGTGTCGCACCGCCATTGCATCCCTCGAGCCGGTGCGCACAATGGTGCATGTGGAGTTCCAGGTCGAAAAGTGTTGTCGGATGCACAGGCATGATATGCTCGGCCCCGAAGCCTTGCCAATGCAGCTGGCCAACCTCCTGTTGATGCACCGCGAACAGTAATTCGGACCAGTGGGTTCCGCAATGAATCTCTCCCGCCCGGACACACGTCCGCAACCAGCTCCTCGAACAGCAGTCCCAGGGACGGTGAATGACGGCTTAAGTCTTGCCATGCATCTTGCCACATCTTTGTCGTAGAGCACCGTCCGATCCAAATAAGCTCGCGATATCGACTCCGATCGCATCATTGTGCAACGTAGAGAACTCCAAATCCAGCAATCAACCGGGTCATGACGACCTCATCGTGTCGCCTTTTTTTTCGTTTTTCATCAACGCCTCTCTGTAGCCAGCTCACAACAGAGACCCGATTGCCTGAACCTCAAACCTGTGTAAGATGTCTTCTCTACCCACAAGCGCGCTTTGACGCCTCGCCATTCTGACTTTACAACAATCGGAAGCGGGCTATAAGCACAGCCAATATGAGCGAAGGATGTTTGTCAAAAATGGTGTTGGAGGCGCGTTGAAGGCAGGCAAAAATGGGTATCGATGTGGTCGGCATCGGCGGGCCTCATGGCGTTGGCGAGGATGAGCAGATGGTGCTTCTCGGTGTGACCGACTGTGACAGATCGAGCGATTGTGGCGAGTCCATCGGCGTACTGCCAGCGCATCGGAGAGTGGCATGGTACCTCGTTCATCTTCGTTCTACTCAACAAGGTGCTACCTGGATCGTAGACCTGTTGCGGAGTATCCGAAGGTGGCTCAGGAAAAACTGGCGATGGCACGATGTCTCAATATCAAGCTGCTTGCCACATAGATCTGTGGGTCGCCTGCGAGCGCCAATAGATGCACGTCTTGCGTGGTGAAGCCCGCTGTAATATCAATGCTGTCATCGGAGCAGCACAATGAGCAGCAGGAGCGTCGTGGAATTACCCGTGCTATGATGAGCCGAGTCTCCTGGTGTTGCTCATCAAGAGTACCCACTTCATCGCCGACTCTACTCCGTGTATTTATCCTCTGCCAATATCCGCTGCACGTTCTGTGATGACATCTTCCACTAACACCCGTTGCAAGTCCAACTCCGTGTCGTAAGTCCTCCCCCCTCCATTTCCATCTCTATTCATGAAGACACCTTCCCGCTCCCTCACTTGCATGTTCTCCTTGTCCTATCCATTCCATGTGCTGTGAAACGGTAGTCATGTGAGGAGATTGCATGTCTTTCCGTCACCTGATCGTCGACTTCATGGTCTCTGGTGAGGAGATATTGTTGCCTACTGACAGCCTCCACGGAGTCGCAACGGCATCGCTGATTCATAACTTAGAGGCGACCCTCATCGCAGACAGGTTGGCTGGCTGGAAGATCGGGGTTCGTTCTGTGGCAGTCCGTCGGCAATCATGAGGGCCAAGTCGAGCGGAGGCTTTGTTCGTTGTAGTGTGGTAAGGTTTCGGTCGTTTCGTTTCGTGGCACGTGGATACAGTGGCAGACTTTGAGGCCAATGCGATATGATGAGAGAGGGAGATTCGCAGGGTCTTTGGATCCCACGCGATGCGCCGCTGTCCTGCGCCTGGTGGCCTTGCGGTGTGTTGCGATGTCGTGGGGTGTGAAGTGGGAAGACTTGCCATCTGAACAATGCTCGGAGCGGAACTTGGCAAGCGGGCCGGGCTTGACTTCACCTCCTAAACCAAAATGACCGTGTTGCCCGTCCTTCTGGCCACCTTCCGCGCTGCACACTATCGCTTGACGGGCGTCGACAATGGGGTGATTGGAACGCCAGTCGCCAACCGCGAGCGGAAAGAAGTGTATAACTTGATCGGGTTGTTCGTGTACCTGTAGTGCATTCGCATCGAAATCGATGCGCCAACACCACATTGCACACACTAGTCGAGCAGGCCCGGGATCGGGTGGTGAGATCCATGCAGCACCAGGATCTGCTAGCAACGGGGCAGCGCCAAACAGTATTATGCAATAACTTCTTGACCAGAGGATCTCTAGCAGGTTTATTTGGGAGTGGGCTGCCATGTGTTCGTCTGCGACGAGGAACTACATCGCGGTAACGTTGCTGCTCTCTGCCGTTCCGACATCTCCTATCTCTGGCGAGCAAAATGACTACGGGCACTAAGAGGTCAAAGCGAATCTGCTGGCTTATTGCTAAGTCCCACCTGCTTTGCGTGCAATCACCGACGACGTAAAGCCTTCACTCTCTCTATCTGTCGAGGAACACTCCAGACGCTTTCTGCAATTCCGAGGAGACGAAAAGGCGCCCCAACGACTCTCTCGGATAACCGGAATATCTTGACCACTGCGCAAGATATCGAAACTCAAATCGGGGAGGATCCTGTCCGAGGGGAATCGAAAGACGCTGCCACAAGACCTGTTGACTTCTTTCATTCTCGAATTTATCTGGATTCTCCATGGCCGCAGAGAAGTACAGCCGTTGAACAATCTCCCGTTGGCCTAGCATACATTTCGCTGCCACTACTCGAGCAGTTCCAAGGGACTTCCGCAGGCCATTCCCCGTACAAGCTTTGGGTACTTCTGAACAGGTGTTACAAGCATCGTGGCATGCTGCGCACGGGCAATGGTCTCCAGCTCGACGGCAACACCTCCTCAAAGCTATTCTGTGCTTGTCAATACGTTAGCACTCCGTTAGGTTGCTCGACCACTTTTCTCTCCTGTCGTTGTTGAGGCCTTGCATTTCCCAGTCATTGTCGCATCATCAGCACCCTCTCGACACCTTCTTTCGCTATGCAGAGCTTGAAACAACTTCAAACACTGTCATGGCTTGACCTCTGGGAGTCCGTCAACTTCCGACTGTCACTGTCGTGTTGCAATTTTGGTCAGGACCCTCGGCTGCAATCTATCTCACCCACTGTCGACAACCGTGACACTTACAGTTGTGTGCTCGGCTAGCAGCCTTCTCAGACTGCACTCGATTCTGAGTCTTTCTGAAAGCAAGTATGGACGCGACCCGCTGAAACGGGCGGCGATTGATACCATTCTCATACTCGGAAATGCTGCAATCACCAATGTGTAATTTGCCTTCACACTGGAACTGTCTATTGGGAACGATCGCCGTCACTTTACTTTTCAGCACTGCCCTGGAAATGTTTGGATTCGTACTTGGGAGCAGTAGGTTTTATTCCTTCATCCGATGGTACCTCCCCATGCTCCTCTCACGATGGCATCATTGTTCGACTGCCGCATGTTCGTCGTCCGGACCCTCGCCAACGATGAGTTGATCGATGGTGGTGCTACTGCCCTCCATAGCTGTGACTCGTCCACATCCCATGGACAATACCCTCAGTGCCCGTAATCACGCTTTTTGCTGCGCCATTCGCATTCGATGCATTGCAAAACCTTTCCTATTGTTGGGAACAAGGACCATCGAAGGCCTGGAAATCAGCGGATCTCGCTTGAGCATTCGAGTGAGCTGTCTCACGTCCATGAGCCTCCGTGATCTCCTTCCAGCTGATCCATGATACGCATGCCTCTGATCACGGTCAAAGGTTGAACAGCGAGCCATCCTCCAGTCAAAACCTGCCGTGGGCTGACTGTAATTCGGCATCCTCTCGTGGCTGCCGCGCTACTTGTTAAAGCACGTATGCTTCTCGTTCAAAGAAGCAACGATGGCCGGTCCCAAGTTGGAAAGTCGTGGCACTACGCAGAAGTTGGAACGGGCCACACTCCTCTAGGTGCACTCCAACAAGTATCTGCACCAGGACTTGTTGGTCAATCTGACTTGGGGATTGGCGGGCGGCATGCTGCCACTCTCATTCGATCAAGCTTGTCTGCATGCGTCCTGATCGATCCAGCGCTTGTTCAGAAAGCTCCACGTCTCCTCGTTCCGTCTATACATCTTGCGTAGATCGAAAGCTGCTATGTACTGCACGGTGTCGACGGGTCAGCCGCAGTGACGCGGCGACGGTGACGGTGAGCACCGTGGTGATGGTGAGAAGTCTGATCCGTAGCTAGCTGAAAACATGATCGACAGAGTGAAGGAACAAGAGAGCAATGCAGCTAACGTAGAGCAGATTCGCCAGCTCTCTATAAGCTACAATACACCTCTGTAGCTTCAGACTATGAGAGCAGACGCCAGTGTATCATCTACGGACGTCCGCAGAATAGGCACGCTTTTGCTTCAGCTGGTCACGACCGATGGGATTCGAAAGCGTGAACACTAAGGCATGAGACATGACAACACGCCTGACCGCAGCAACTCCAACATGAACGCAGCCGGCTTAGCTTCCAAGCTCAGCTAATATTCACATGACATGCAAAAGTGGCAGGCTATACAGGAGACGCCTTGAAGGGAGTCGGAGAACAGAAAGGCAAGGCACTGTTCAAGGAACGGCTTGAGTTATTCTAGTAGAGCGAGCTTAACTTGCTGATGTGCACTTGATCCCGTCAGGAGTAACGATGCACGAAAACGAAGGGCGAAAGCGACCGAGGAGACAATAGAAGCCGATCTTCGGGAAGAGATTGGCGCTTCTCCGTAGGCTATTGCAACAGAACGTCGCTTGCCTTGGAACAAACGCGTCACTCCAGAAATACATTGATGCTTTGAGTCTGCAATGCCACGCCTACTATTAAAATTCTCAAGCAACACTCCTCGGATGCAGTGCCATGGCGTCGTTCAAGTAATGGTCGTCAAGCGGGTCGATGTTGAAAGACGTTTTCGTGGAGGTTCGCAATGAAGTTAGCGCCGACATTGCAAAAGCAAGGAACACGAAAGCCGCTGTATCCTCGTCTCTGCATCTTACGTCTCCAGGTCTCAATCAAGCAACTACACTGCCAGATCACATGCTCCAACCCAACGGTCTTGTGCACTTGTAACTTTGCCGTCTCTGCTACTGAGAATTACAATGGCCGCTTTGGGAGCTCCCAACGCGACTGCGCAGGAATGAGCAGCACAGTCGCTTTCTACAGACGGCAGAATTCGCTCACCAACATTGATTGTAGAAGCTTCTCGTCCATCCTCCTAAGAGTACAAGAATGCTACGTTTCCTCTGCCCTGCGAATGCTCTCTTGTAGTCACGATCAGCCATTCCGTAGCACATCTGGGCATTGTCGGAGCATATGGTTGATGGGCGCGCGAAGTGACATCGGGTGGTTCAGGCTCACGCTGTCAATGGTTATCGAGCGCGGTATTTGGCTGTTGTCGATGTTCATCCTTCCAAGTGAACGAACAAGCAGAAGTACAATACGGACCGAAAGGATATGCAAGATGCCAGCAGTCCAGATTTCGCAGTTAACGCTGATCTTGACACTACCTCTGGGGCTGACAGAGTCGAAACGGTGTACGAATCGCCGGCCACTTGGCAGAGTATCGTTGAGCTACGTTGGCTTGGCCATCCAAGGGCTTTGCTCAGGCAAGACAGAGCATAGCCTTCCTCGAATCCAACAACATCGAGACTGGAGAAGCCATCATCAGCGTATCGAAAGGTATTGTCGATCAATCGCCATACTCGTATTAACACCGCTTCCAGACATCGTAAATCCACTGGAGATTGTGCATGCTTGATTTGGGGTTTTGCGTTTGCGCCATGTGATACTCGGTCTGTGTTGAAGTCTGGCTCGATTTTGGTGCTTCCATTCCCCGATTAGCTACAGAAGCAGAATGTTTGAGCTTTTCCCATTAATCTATGGGTTGCACTGAGTAATGCGTATCATGCATCGCGCGGTCGTGTCATGGGACAAGACGAAATCTGAAGAAGTCAATACGGCCATGAAAGAGCATCAGACATCGATCCTTGCAATCACATCAGCTTCAACGGGAACATGAACAAACAGGTAGTAATGGTTGTAAAGGCCCTTGTGCAGGTTCGCTCCCGAGACTACAGGATTTGGAGCTCCATTTTGGTTGTATCTGTGACCACTGTCTTTCGTACGTGAATGAGGAGTATTTCGCAATCACCATGGAAGAGAACACTATCCTCGGCAAGAATATCCAGATAGCCTAGGCAAGCTACCCAGATGTGAAGCCTTGCCAGCATGAATTCGTCACCGGTTCAAACGAGGTTGGCCCGAAAGTTCCGATTCGATGATGGCAATAGCTCGTACCTGGAGGCCTATGCTCGACATTTGCTTTGCACAGTGCTTGATACAACAAACATGACCTGGAACAAGTGAGCAACGGACCGTGCTCCTCAGTGTTACCGAAAGTCCACATTCGCCTTGGGGCCAAGCATGGATTCCGATTCAATGGAGGAAGCGACTTGGGAGATCCGTGGCCAAGTAGCGGTCGTGATACCCAGCGATGGTCTTGCTTGGCGGGCTCATATTCGTGATACTATGTTCATCAGAAATACAAATGGTGTTGCTATTGATCTTGCTCTGACGTCGCAAGAGACTGTGAAGGCCCCGACCATTACAGAGCTCCAGCTTTCAGACTTATTTCAGCTTCAGTAGACCGGCCCAGCTCGATTGCAGCACCCCTCGAAAGACTTGCCAATCGTCCAAGCAGTCTACCAGAAACAATAGCCGTTTGTCCATCGTTGCTCCAGTCACGCCGATCTCGTGCATGGTGCTGCACTTCATCTTGTCCTGGCTTTTCTCGCTGATGGCTTCCACCTTGTGATGGAACCTGATCGTGGCGAGGCGCGGCATCATTTACAAACGGGGTGTGTTAGGCTTAGGGACAGCCGATTTTGTGGCAGTGCTGCCGTAATGGGCGGCTGAGTTCGAAAGACGCATCCTGCATACCCGGCGCCCAGGGCGCTGATGCACTTTCAGGAAGTTCACGCAAGTGGAGGCGAGATCTGGAAGGCTAGTGGGCATGGGATGCCCATGGAAGTGATACGTGTCGGGTGATGGTATTGCGATGGTGGGCTAGTAGCTAGAATGCATGTGGAAGGCAGCTGCCAGCATTATATTACCGAAGTATGCGGAGCAGAACGTTGTTGTCGCAACACTCGTTGAGGTTGAGGGGCTCGAAGACAGGCCTTCGAATAACGAGTCGTGCTCGCGCTCGTCTTGCACGTGAATTAAGCTGTCAGAGTGCCGGCTGCTCTAGGGGTCCGCGGATCGTTGCTGTACGTGGCGATGACGGATGGCGAAGGCGTGTTGTCATGCTTAGTCCTCGACCTAAGCGATTGATGGCGTCCGTCAGGTTTAGGACATCTGTAGCTGCACATGCTGGTACTGGAAGATTCGTCGAAGCGTAGCTGAGTGCAGGCACTATGGGCGACAAACACATGGTGTCGCATCTTTGATAGCACTCTCGCTCAACGACAAAGCGTAGCTCTTACCCTTGAATCACTTCTTCATGCGAAGGTCTTTGTTGTTAATTGTCCATTCTTCGTGTCCAACTTCCCGGCATCTCCATTGCCTTGGCCGTTCCCTGATTCCTTCTTTATTGTACGACTTGGGGTCATTCTCTGCGCGATCGTTACAGAACTGCTGGAGCGTGCCTGCACACGCAGTGCAGACATGAGACTGGTCCCGCACGCAACGTGTGACGCGCAGCGGTTTCCTGCCCGAAACATTGACACACTGCAAAGTCTGGCTCTATGGCAGCCGACTGCACACTCTGCAAGACCACGTCAGTGAAGATCAAATCTGAAAAGCCAGTAGGTCGGGGATGCGACAGGTATCTGATGCCGGCGTTGCGATGGTGTGCTAGTGACCGGGCTGCGTGTGGAAGGCAGCTGCCAACGTTGTGTATCAGATGCGGGCGATTCGCATGGCTGAAAGATGGGGAGGATGGGGAGCCTCGAAATGTCTAAGATGGCCAGATGAGCTCGGGTCGGCGTATCGAGGCAGGGAAAGCGGTGATCGGGAGGCGCGAGGCAATATGAGAAGGACGTGACGTTGGGTGGCTCCGCGGCGCCGTGTCTGCCCCAGCCGTTAATGAAGGGGTATATCGGATCTTCATTTACATCATTGGTTGAAATGCCTGCGAGCGAACATGAGACTTATCTGAAGTCGGTCCATCCTCGCCTTATAGCTGCACTCTTTGCGCTTCCCTCTCCTTCTTCTAAGCCATATCGAATGTTCTTCTCTTCTCCGCTATTACCTGCCATGACGGATCCCGCGCATGTCCAAATTCGCATGTCGCCCGCCAATTCCCTTCTGCGCGGAACATGGTGCCACCGTACCGTCCATGCAGTCCTCTTTCTCTCAGCTCACGAAGGTCCGAGACTCCTGTAGATTCTCACCCAACATCGCGCTTCCTTCTCTGCCGTCCATGCAAAGCTGGTCGTTTCTGACTTGCACGCAGCTCCATGAGCGGGTTTGTCGCAACGTTGTTGTCCCGCGGATTGGTCTGCCAACTCTTTCCACGACCTGACCTGCGCCCAGACTTGGTCCATAGCTCTCGTCTGCAGCTGCCGCAAAAGCAGCACTCCCAAGTCTGCTCCTTCGGTGGCATTTGGTGTCTGCTGCTGCCACTGAGCTTGGAAGTGGGAACTCTCGACGGCGATGCGTAGCATCTCCCACAATTTACTCGCGCGAAGGAAGGCGAAGTCTACTGGGCCGAGCGTGGTCTCGAGCGTCTGAAAATGCAATCGGCGGCTCGAGTGGTATGCTTCGGCTTTCGCAAGCGCCAGGTCAAGGGCGGGATCGGCGTGGGAAGAAGACGGTGCGTCGGAGTTGCTGTAAAGAAGCGATGGAGCGGAGCGGAGGAGGTTCAGCAGAGTGCGTTCCCAGCGCAGGACCTGCAAATATAGCGCTGTGGTCCATGCTGCCGGGATGGGAGGATGGGGGGCGTTGGTGCTCTTGAGATTGGTGATGGCAGTGGTCGTGGCCGCAGCGGCGAGCTGGGTGTCGATGAAGGCGAGTTCGACGCGCAGATCATGGCCGAGGGTGGAGGATATGGAGAGGTATGCGCGCAGAGCGGGCGAGTCGGAGATGATGGTGTCGAAGGCGGCGAGGACCGTAGGCTCGTCGGGGACTGCGGTGGGCAGCATGGTGTCGCTTGGCACGCTGCGATAGGCGGGCAGTGATCGGCATCGTTCGGCGCGCAAGTGGTCCACCACGTCCCAGTACTCCATCCTGTGAGATACTCCGCGCGCAAGCATATACAGCATCGCCGCCATCAAGACCATCAGCACCACCATCACTGCCGCACGCGTCCGCGTGGCCACCGTGCTACGCTGCCCGTGCACGCGATCCCCGCCGCGCCGCCAGGTCCGCCTCTTCGCGCGCTTCTCCTCCAGCAGCTGTATCTTGGCCCGCAGGCCATGCGGCTCCGGCGGAGCGCGGGGCAGACGGTGGAGGAGGTCATCCCCTGCCACGAATGTGACGCGGCGCGGGAGGGTGGCAAACTCGACGGCAGTCGACGGAGGCGCTGCTTCGGGCATCTCGGCGAGAGGAGAAGACTGGGGTGGAGGCGGGTGGACGATGACAAGAGCGAGGACAAGACAAGGGCGAGGGCGGACGATTGGAAGGAGTGAGGGTGACTGCAAACAAGGCGGGCGTTGGTGAGGGAGGGGGTGGAGCATGCTGTGAGCGGGATGGTCGTTTGTCGTCCCCCCCCCCC